GAATGCTTAGTAAATTTCTTTAACCACTTTTTTCAAGTAAAAAAGTATGTACTTTTTTTTGAAATATTTAAATATCTTTAGTAAAATATCGTAGAAAGATACGACATATTTTTCCTAGAGTAAATCCCAACAAAAATACATACTATCACCTCTTTACGTCAAAAATTCTTATATACAATATCTGCTAAGAATATAAAATTACCGATACAATAGAGAGAAAACTCACTAAAACGTTCATGGTTTGAGATTAAATTATATTCCCCTTTTCGTTAATTTTACACATTATTTTATTTATAAATAATATTTATTTTATTTTGAGATTATTTATTATTATCATTTAACTTTTTAATACAACCATCGGTATGTGATTTATTGATATAATTCAATTCGGGTATAATAAAAGTCTATTATAAACTAACTTATTGGATTAAAATCTACCATTGTTGACACATGTGTATAATGTTATTATATAATATGACATAAATGAACTGACTAATTATGTTACATGTGTCATAGGTATTAAAATATAATGGAAATAACATACATATATCATAAGTTGTATTTATAATTTGATGATGAGTAAAATTATAAATACTTGAAAACTAATTCAACAGTCAATTATAAAGCGATAGTGATCCTAAAAAATAGGTTAATTCGATATACATCTAAAAATGTCCCTAATATTTGATTAATAGTCACTTTGACCCCTATTTTCTCTTCTTCTTCTTCTTTTTTGGAGTATTGGCCCATAACATCTTATTTTGGAGCAAAAAGGTCCCTCAGTGGAAAAAACGTTAGTCAACAAACGATTAACGCTCTAAATAGTGACATTTCGCATTAAAATGGAACGTTGAGAGCGGGGGCAAAATGCTCTAAACAAAAAAAAAGGGTTAAAGTGACTATTTAGTCAAATGTTAGTGCAAAAATACTCCAAAATAAAAGAATACAAGCTACAATGACTATTTAATCAAATGTTAGGGCATTATTTTGATATTATGCATTATATTCTATCAAATGTTATGGGCATTTGTTGGCATTATTACTTTAGATATGATTCGATCAATGACGAGTCAATGTGATCTACCAAGTTTTTTTTAGGAGCATACACTTGAAATAATTGTCTTCACACTAAATTGTGTTCCATCTAAGTCAATTCAAAATACATTATATGTGATATGGACTGAGAAACATCATAGTACGTCTTTTATTAAGATTTGACATTGCGAAACTTATATTAAACATCAATGTCTATAAAACTTGAACTCAAATCTTAAAAGTGCATCATCTTTAAAAATATATCTTAAAAAATTAAAAGATGTTATTTCTTCAATCCTATTGATAAAAAAGTGTTTGTTGCTCGAACATAAATATTCTTCGGGAAAAATTTTCTCTCTAAAATGAAAGAGATGAAAACATTGAACTGGAAAAAATTCGAGAAAACATATCATTAGATCAAAGATTAAACAAGAACAAATTCCTTAAGTTGTTGCAGAAGAATCAAATGTTTTGGAAACACAACCACTACGAAGGCCTATAAGAGAACACCATGTACTTAAGATATATAAATTTCTCATTACAATACACGATGATATTATACTTATGGATTAAAGCAAGCTTCTTAAAGCTGACATCTTCACTTTAATGTAATAAAAGATTTTGGATTTGTGTCAAACGAAGATTAATTTTGTGTTTACAAAAAAAAAATAGTGAGAACATTGTTTCATTTCTGATATTGTATATAGATGACATACTTATTATAGTGACTTACTTATTTTATAGTTAGTTAAGACTTAGTTAGGAAGTAGTTTTTTTTTATGAAAGATTTGTGTGATGTTTCATATAATTTAGGAGTCAAAATAATAAATTTAATTAAAATTAATATATGTATTTGATATATATATATATATTATTGGATAAACTACATGTTTAGTACCTAAACTATTATTTTTGTTATGTTTCGGTACCTAATCTTTTATTTATTTCAAAATAATACCTAACATTTATTTTTGTTTCATTTTGACACCTCCCTTTAAAAACTTAGTGAAACTGTTACAACATGGCACATTTTTATGGGTAAACTACATCATTCATCACTCAACTATCTTCTCACTCATATTTTGGTCACTAAAGTCTAATTTTTTTAATTTAATTACCTAACTTTCAAATTACCCCTAATTTAATCACTCTAACTTTCAAGATTATTTTTATTTTAATTATATATAATAAGATAATAAAAAAATTCATGTCACAAAAAATATTAATAAAATAAATTAGAGTGATTAAAACATGAGCAATTTAAAAGTTGAGTAGTTAAATTGATTTTTTTTAAATTTAGTGACCAAAATAGGAGTGAGAAGATAGTTGAGTGGTGAATGATGTAATTTACCCATAAAAATACCACGTACAAATTTTGAAAGGCGAGGTACCAAAACGAAATAAAAAGTAAACCTTACGTATGATTTTTAAACAAATGAAACTTTAGATATCAAAAGGAGACAAAAGTAATAGTTTAGGTAATAAACATGTAGTTATATGAAAAATTATCTAGATTTAAATTCAAAATCTAATATCAAGATTAAAATAAATTTATAAAATTATAAGGGAATAAAAACTTGTAAAATTTTAATGAATGAAAATAAATTATCAATTGAAAATATAAGAAAATGCCTAAAATATATGAAAATTTAACATTTTTATGAGATGACTGCCCTTTAATTCTTAATTAAATTAATATCCAAATTAATAAATTCACATTACATAATTGCCCTTTAATTCTCAATTCAAACTTCTTAAATAATTGAAAACAACTGTTAACTTAATTATAAATAATAATACATTGTACACTTGCCATTTAAATAATCATAAAATTCAAACCTTTTTAATTAACCGGACAACATTAATAACTTAATAAATGAATAAATGATAATCATATTGTGTAGATTGGTATAATTTTTTGTCTGTTCTGCACGAATCAAGTTATCTTAGGAGTTAAAAAATAATTGTTATTATTAAAAGTCTCAGGTTCAAGTACCAAAAACTACAACGGTGTTTAAACTTTTATTATTAAATGATTATTAAAACAGATATTATCTTATAATTATTCTAGATCAATAAAAAAAACAAACAAACAAATAAACCTTTTGACAGCCCTGCACAAGCTATTCTATTGTTAGCCTTAATTATCCTAACTCGTTAAAAAAAAACTACGCTTAAAGGTGCCCAAAATTTGAAATTAAGTCTATTAACCTTGAATTTTTACTTAATTAATCATCAAATCAATTATTTTTAAATTTAAATTTAAATCAACAAAATCAAGATTGAAGGTTTATGATTTAGAATTTTAAAATTCAAATAAACAAAAATAGTTTTCACATAAAAATACTATTTCTTCTGTTCTAATAAATTTGTCTCTTATTGATATTTTAAAAATAAAAAATGTAAAATTTTGACCATAATTATTTTAAATATTTTTTTATATTTTTAAATAAATAAGTTATATTTTTTTTTAAAAAAAGTCAATAAAAACTCATATAATGAGACAGATGGAGTATTGTTTAAATATTTGTTAAAATATATCTAGAAGACAATGGTTTAACAGTAAACTATGTATTAATCATTTAACTATCACTTTAGTTCTGTTTTAATCACTTAATTATTATATTATCTAAATATATTTTATGTATAAAACAGTAATTCTTTACAATTTATTCGACAAATTAGTGAAATGGTTTATGAAAAAAGAGAGTAAACGTTTGATGTTTTATATAAATTTAATGGACTAAATACTCAAACTACTGTAAAATATTCTAAAATATTTAATATTAATCTGATTAGAAAACAATTAAAATATTTTATTTTAAAAAAACACAATATATTAATATATATTTTATTTTCTTTCTTTTATATAAATTTAAAAAATAACTAAAAATAACTATACTTTTTTAAAACATATTATAATCTAATTCACTTCAACCGGTAAGCTTTAAAACTTTTTAATAATATGAATGGTAGCTAAATTAATAGTCTATCGTCAGTTAAAGTCATGATCTCAAAACCTCAAAACTGGCTTAGTTGAACTAAAATTAGATAAGCAAGCAATGAGATCAACTTGGGGTTGGGTATCTTAATTCCATTAAAACCTCAATTATTCCAAAAGCTCTAATTAGTTTCCATCAATGAAAGAGACGAGAAGGTAGAAAAAATAATAGAAAATAAATGGTTTATATTTTGTTATTAATCCTTTACTATGGTTATTTTTTTATATTTATTCATTATTCTCTAATTTAATTTGAAGTTTAAAATTCTAGTATGAATACAATCCGTAAATATTTTATTCTAGAACTAAAGAAACAATTTATAAAATATAGATTATGAGTGAGCAAAACTCGACGATAAAAAATTCGACTAAACTTCATTAACTTTAATTCTATAAACTCGACTTTAAAAAATAATTCGAATCAAATTATAAAATATAACTCAAATAACTCAAAAATTTTAGTAATTAGTAGATTGATTTTCAAGTTCGACTCGATTCCCTCAATTCTGCGTGATATATGTATATTACATATGATGAAATTTATATGTATGCCATATATGGTTATAGAAATTTGTTTAAATTGTAATCAAATAGTACCATAATTAAACATTATAAATATTTACTATTAAATTTATACAGAAACTCTAACAATTTGACTCGAATTTTTGAACTCGTCTAAAAAAAATTCAAATAAAGTTTGAGTTATAAAATATGACTAATCAACTTTACCAACTCGAAATTTTTAACTCGATTCGACTTAATTAAATACTCACCCGTAATATAGTTAAAATGCACGACTAAAGTATAATGGCTAACAATGACTAAATTTATAAAGATTGATAGCAAAAATTAACCAAAATGAATAGAAAAAGTCCTCAACAGTTGCCAGTTGAACCATCCACTTAATTTATCAGCCTATAAATACTCATTGATTTGCCCAACCAAAACTCAAACTGAAATTACCCATTTTTCCTTCAAAAATGGGTTCTTCAAATTATTTTGTTTTAGCTTTCCTCGTTGCATTCTCATTTTCATGCATCCAGTTTAGCATGGCAGCTCGCCGTCTCCAGCAGATCAACATAATACCTTCTCCACTCCCAAGACTTCCGCCATTACCTTTTCCAGTCATTCCACCATTACCATCTTTGCTTCCTCCAATCCCAAGACTTCCGCCATTACCTTTGCCAGTCATTCCACCATTACCATCTTTGCTTCCTCCACTCCCAAGACTTCCGCCATTACCTTTGCCAGTCATTCCACCATTACCATCTTTGCTTCCTCCACTCCCAAGACTTCCGCCATTACCTTTGCCAGTCATTCCACCATTACCATCTTTTCTTCCTCCATTCCCAAGACCTCCGCCAGTCATAATTCCTCCAATACTGCCAATAACTTGAACCTTTCCCCCGTTTCGTGCGCTTCTCATGATGGGCTCTGCCGCCTTTTTCTACTTGTTAGTCTTGTTTGAGTCGTACGTGTGTTGCTTAGATGTTAAGTTATGATTAGTAATAAAAAAAACAGAGAAGCTACCTTCTTTGCGTCCGATACCATCTTCACCTACACTGCCACCACTTCCGCCGTTAACATCTCTGCCAATACTTTCCTCCGTTTCGGGCGCTTGTTATGATGGGCTCTGCTGCTTTTCTCTACCTTTCAGTCTTTCTTGTTTGAGTCGTGTGTTGCTTACAAGTCAAGTTATGATTAATAATAAAACATGAGAAGCTCTTTGGTCTTTGAACTTGCCTTCAATTTTCCTAATTACTGCATTTTGTTTCACATTTTCTCAAGCTACATATATTATTTGTGTGAGTGATCAGGCACGAGTCGGATTTAACCTTGAAGAGTAAGTTGATTAACTTTAAAATAAATTAAAATTGAATAAATCATAAAATTTAAAGAAATTATGGTTCAATTTTATTAATTTTAAAATTAACGGATCTTAGAACATAATTAAACCAAAAAAATTAGAGGTGACTCCTAAAAATAATTAAATCAATAAATTTTGAGAAATACAAAGGCTTAATTGTAATAATTTTGGGAATATTTATAATTTAGAAAAAAAATTAAACCATCAAATTTGGGGATAATTTCCTCTCCCACCTACAACGTAAATTCGTCATGTGTGCTATTCTTTAAGGTATTAGGTTCGAGTACCATGATTACTACGGGTATGAGCGTTCCATATCAAATGGTTAAGAGTTATCTTTGAACAGATATTACCTTGTACTTACCCTAAATTAATTAAAAAATAAATATTAAATTAAAAAAAATAAATTTAAACAAAGAAATTGATTCATTTAAAATATGACTAAGCTTAACTTCAATATCCAATACCTAAGTCCGATTCATCTTGTTTTTCAGTTTCATAATACGTTTTTTTTTTATTTAAGTATATTATGTAATTTGTATCATATGGAAACTAAATATATAATGTTATAATATATATATTAAAAATGATAGACAACTATGAAGGATTTGAGTTAACCATTGGTATGTATGAGTTTATTTAAATAAAATTTGAACTCTTAAACGACTAGTGCACAGTAGCTTGCTGATTGTTTGTTTTTCTTTAAGTTAATTTGGTGTAATTGTTGAAAATTTATTGACTTTTCGTCGACATTATTTATATTATTAATAAAATATTTTTTTTGTAAAAAAAAAAATCATAATTTAGATAGAATATTTTATTATCATACATAATTTTGATTCGACTGAATCATATCCATATTAATTTGTACAATTATATCTATTTTTTTCCATTAATAAGGATATTTAATCAGTTTTTAACTTCAAATATTTCAATACGCAAAGACATTTCGCTTATTTTAGTATGCGAAAGCATTTTGATCATTTGACACTTGGGAATATTTCAATCTTGTAATGCATTAAGGCCTCTTCTTGGGCTCATCTATTCATTATGAATCATATTCAACATCAATTAATCAGATATCAGCCCTTTGGCTTTCGCAATAGGTAAATCACACTTTTAGTCCTTTTTTTTAATCTTAAGTTCAAAGATAACCTTTTCAATAGTTAGTTGGGCTCATTTCTTATCTAATTAAGTATAAATTCTTATTAGTGTTGCTGCCGCCACCAGTATTTCTTTATTTTCTTATCCTTTATCTTTATACTTTTTATACTTTTCTGTTATTGGTATTTATGAATGATTAGAACTGGGTTTGATATCGTTGTCTTCTGTGTATCATTCTCGTCATGTTTCCTCTGTATAAATTTAGTCGGGTCTTATGTTTCTGTCTATATACAGAGATTCTTTCGCAGGGATTATTTTGCAGGGATTACTCCCCATTACAGAAGCACATATGGTATTAATGACTGCATATGAATACTGTTTAGCTATGTATTTATGTAATTATTTATAAATGCATTGCATTTTATCTATATTTTTAATTTTTTGACTGCGGAGGTCTTTCACAGAAGCTATTCTCAACCTGGCGTTGGGGGCAACCTACTACCCTACCTCCCCCTTACCCCATACATATGGGAATTGGGTTTTGTTGTTGTTGTTGTTTATCTTTATCTTTCTTTTGTTTTTAATAAATTTTATCTTTATGGCACGATTTTCATTACTTTTGACATTTTTTTATTTTCTTTTTCAATTGTTTGGTTATTCTTGTTGTTTAATTTTAAGGTTGGATTTGAGATCGTCATAATTGATCAAGATGACGCTTGTTTGTTATCCCGTTGATCTTTCAGATATTCGACTCTCGAATTGGATTTAGATATGCAACCTACGTTCGTATATAATTTTCTCAAGATGCTTAGCTTTGACTTGCGTTTTATTGGTGATCTTTCAATAGTTTAATCTCTTATCGTGGTTCGTTTGTCGTAGCGGACATATCATTTTGTATCTATCTATTGTTCGAGTTTTTAGGATGGATTTTTCACATTTTCCTTGTTTAGCTGCTTTTATTTCAAAAAAAAATCGAATTATTATAGGTGAATCAAAAGGAGTCCAAAAATCTGAATTTGTTTTGGATAAAATGCTTTTATTTATCCCAGAAGCAGAAAAAAAAAACCTACTACAATATACGAATATGAGGGTTAGCCACACAAAAACAAGGAACACCAACACCCAGAACCAGCTAAAAACACAAAATCAAAGTAGCCAACCAGACTAAACTATACCCCAAGCATTACAGAACCTTCCATATACAGGTTTAGAAATATCAATGCATCTACCCTAACTTTAATCCTAACAATATCATTGATAACCTCAAAAACTTCATTAGCAGTATGAGATCTCCCCCTAAATTGTCTGTGATTCCTTTCCTCCCAAGCGCAGTGTAAATGAGCACTCCAAGCAGTTTTAATAATGAAAGTGCACAGAGTTTTATCTTTTAAAGCACAGGCCCAAGCCAGCTAGTAATCCCAGCCGCGAACAACTCTAGCAACATTACACAAACGTAATATTCTCCCCAAAATGTCACAGGAAATTGACAATCAAAGAAAAGTTTATTCCTAGATTCCAAAGCATTCACACAAATCACACAGACAGAGTCAACCATAATGTTCATTTTTAAAAGTCTATCCTTAGTATGCAGACGGTCCAAAATAGCCAGCCATGCAATGATAACATGCTTTGGAATGTGCATAAGGAACCAAATAAGCTTCTACCAAGGGACACGAGGCCGCTTATCTCGAATCCATCTCCATATCCAGGTTGCATTAATCATTTAACCACTCGAGACTGAAGTAAGGACACCAGAAGCCTCATTTCTAAGTTTGAACATCTTCTTCAAACTCCAGCTCGCATCAGCTTTACATCTAGCACCTAAAAATACCCATAAGAACATAGGAATGAACCCAAGCCACCCAAAGGGAATCCTCCTCAGCAAGCAGAGCCCTCATAAGCTAAATCACACAAACCTTGTTCCAACAACGAACATCTTTTAAACCTAAATCCCCTTCTGCTTGTAGGGAACACACAGTGCACCAATTAACCTTTGCACCTACAACGCTAACATCTCTACCCTTCCATAAGAAACACATGCATAACTGGTTAACTTTGTTAATCACAACCATGGACAAAATCAACTGTCTGCACCAAAAATTAGTAATGCCAATCAACACAGGCCTGATAAGCTGCAGTCTTCCAGCTTAGCATCCTGCTCGACCATTGCTAAAGCTTAAGCCTGATCTTCTCCAGCAAGGGCAAACATCCTTCTCAATAAGCTTAAAAAATATGAATTTGAGAGAAGCATTTTAGGGGGTTTGCATAAATTTACCTGAACAATAAAACTACATTAAAGAATTAACAACAATTCCTTATACCTTAAGGACTTTAAGGAATAATAACAGTTCCTTAAAGAATTAACATTCGATTGACCTAAACGAGTCAAATTAAAAATATTTATAATTTAATGGCCAATAGAAATACTAAAATTTGGGTGAATAAATATGTAACTTCCTTATACCTTACTAATTAATATATAGATGTTTTATTGGATAATCAAAAAATGTCCCTAAGCAGAGTAAAGAAACACAGATTTTATGCGCAACCAACAATCATATTATAGAAAAAAGACACCACCTTATCTTGGCAGCACCCAAAAAATGAGAAGATAGAATTATCAAGAACGTACTATACATGCGTCCCCTTCTCACTTTCTAGTTTGCCATCAACAATCGTGACTCCGTTTCCCCATGGCTGCGACTCACCCATCACCACCACAAAAGCCGACGACCGTTAAAGCACTAGCTGAATCGTCTGGTTTTTCTTCTCTCCCTTCCATTTACACCTTCCCAAAACACCCCAATGATGAAGTATTTTCAGACACAAAAGAATCAATCCCCACCATCGATTTCTCTCTTCTCACCTCCAGTAACACCGATGAACGGTCTAAAACGATCCAAGAGCTTGGAAAAGCCTGTGGAGACTGGGGCTTCTTCATGGTATATACATATATACACGCTCATATAGAGTTCTTTTTCAATCAGTTTCAGGTTTTTGATGTAATTTGGTCTGTTTGAGCATCTCAGGTGACCAATCATGGGGTGCCGGAGAGCTTGATGAAGGCAATCATCGAGGCTTGCGGCGAATTTTTCGAGCTGACGGAGGAAGAGAAGGGAGAATATGAAGGGAAGCATGTGTTGGATCCGATAAGATTTGGAACCAGTTTTAATGCATCGGTGGATAAAATTTATGCTGGAGATTATCTCAGATTTTTCAGCATCCCGAGTCCCACTCACCCGACAGGCCACCTGCCTTCAGGTTTCATCTATGTTAAAAAAATGAACAGAAATGTTGATATAATAATTTTTATCTTTTCAATAATTATAGGATATTATTTTATAATGATACATCAAATTTTAACGGACGGTCAAAATATATATTTAAATATGATTTTTTTATAAAATAATCAAGTGACAAAAAAATTGCAAAAATAGATTAATGACTAAATACATAATTTGACCCACTTTGTTTTACTCCTCATAATGCATATGGTTTCAGAGAAATTGCTAGGGAATACAGCAAAAGAGTCCGGCAAGTAGCCAAAGAAATACTAAGAGGAATATCTGAGAGTTTGGGATTAGAAGATAACTTCATTGATAAAACCTTAAACCTGGAAAATGGCCTGCAAGTCATGGCTGCCAACTTCTATCCGCCGTGTCCGCAGCCGGAGCTCGCGATGGGGTTGCCGGCTCATTCAGACCATGGCCTTTTGACCCTCCTAATCCAAAACCAAATCGGT